AGAACAATGTGGAACCAAACTCAAAATCATTTGGAGAAAAAAAAAAAGGGGGAGGACCAGATTTGCTGGTCCGATAGAGCCTGGTGGAACCTCTGAGACTATGGCCCCTAGCTGCCCTTCAGATGTGGAATTGAACCCACATCTGTGGTTTCCAGCCAAACAAAAGACAGGCATATGAGTTGAACATTTACCTCAAGTAGATACACTCCTTGGAGAGAACAATCATGGGAGAAATAAGGGCTGCTTATGCACAGGGAGACATCTCAGGGGGTAGGAGTGCATGGAGGGATGGACACAGGGAAGAGGTAACTATGGGGAGGAAGTGGGAGGGGAGCTATTGCATTGTGGTAAACTGTGGTCAATGTCATGAGACAAAGTATGTGAACCGCTGTATGGAAAGTGAATTTGCTCTGTAAACCTTCACCCAAATCACAATTTAAAAAAAAAAAGAAAACAATGGTGAATTCTTTGTCATAAGCAAAGTTCTATGTGACTGAGCAGCTCTGCCTCGGAAACCCAAGGAGGGGTCGCTATGAGTCGCATCCCACTCGACAGCAGTGAGTTATGTGACTGAGCTTCCTAATTGAGGGCTCTATTTGTTGGGTTATTTAAATCCATACCACTGATTTTAGTAACTCATCTCTTCTTAGAATCACAGAACATTCAAACTGGATAGAAGAAAACTTAGTCCAGTCTTCCCATTTTAAATATGGGAAAATGAGACTCAGGTTGTGAGTTGAATAAGGGCCCTCAATGGGTTTAAGGCCGAATGACAGTGGGCCTATATCAGGCCCCAAAAAGACCAGGCTAGGGTGCCTTGTCCACCAGACCATTCGCTGTCCCCTCAGCTTTTGGCTTGCCTCTCAACCACTTGCTCTTGGCTTGCTTCTCAACCACTTGTGCACATCTGAGATAACTGTCAGAGCTGGACAGGTGATGAAAAACGAATGCTACAAAGACATAAAAAGAAATCTTGTTGGTGCTCACTATTTATATCGTAAAATACTTTTTCTAACTGCTGTGTCACGTTGTTGTTGTTATGTGCTGTTGAGTCGGACCCAACTCATAGTGACCCCTCCTTGGGTTTCTGAGGCAGTATCACTACGGAAGTAGATTGCCCAACCTTCCTTCCGAGGAGTGGTGTCACGTAGGTATCTTTAAAAATTCCATCAGAATGTTTTGACTAGTGACATATTGCTGTTACCTTCCAGATAGCTAAAACTATTCATGCCACGTATGTATAGGGTGTTGTTAAGACTTAACATAACTCATATTATTAACTGGTTATTTTTCATGGACAGTTTCATTAGTCTTAGTTTATCTGTTTTTCTAGCACTAGAACGGTTTCAGGGGGCTGTGGTAACGTAATGCCCAATCATTTGACTGCTAACCAGAAGGCTGGTGGTTCAAACCCACCAGGCACTCCTCAAAAGGAAGATTGGGCAATCTATTTCCATAGTGATACTGCCTTAGAAACCCAAGGAGAGATCACTGTGAGTTGGATTCAACTTGATGGCAATGAGTTTGGTTTTGGTTGGAGAACTGTTTCAATTTATTGACTTTTTTGTTTAATTTTCTTTTATTACGGTACCTATACATGTAATAAAACATTTGCCATTTCAACATTTTTCGCATGTACAATTCAATGACATTAGTTGTATTTATCATGTTGTGCAACCATCACCATTATCCATTTCTGGATTTTTCGATTACTCAAAACATAAGCTCAGTGTCTTCTAAGGAATGAATCCCCCTTTGCCTTGGCCCCCCACCGACGCCCAGTAACTACTAATTAGATATGTGTACACTTCACTATTCTAAATAATGCTTATAAATGGAATCATACAATATTTGTCCTTTTGTGACTGACTTCACCCCTTCTTTTGTAACTTATTTTCTTTAAATAGGAAGCCTCTCTTACTTTATTTCAAAAGTATTGTAATGGTGGGTGCTGAGAATATAGCATTGTGCATATTCTAACTGTTGTCTAAATATTGATTGAAAGAATGAATGTTTTCCATCTATTCAGCTCCAAATGTTCATTTCCTTTTATTTCACCATGGCTAGCCGGTGGGGGGTGGGGTGGCTGTAGTTTGGGAGAATATTAGCTGTGTAATTTTTTCCTCCAACTTGAATGGAGTCTTCAACAAAAAAAATCACATGCACACCAAAGGCTAGAAGAGGTTTAGTAAATTGAATGTGGGGTTATTGTTTGTGTCCACAAAACAAAGCCCTAAATCACATTTAGCATAATTTGTGGTTTTAAATTGGAGGCATGTAGCAAAGAGAGTGAAATAATCTCTCATCCTGTCAAAAAGGCGATACCTTCAGACCAGCATTTAATTGCATTGGCAAAGTAACTTTGGGAAGGTGGCAGTAATTCTGGCTGCATTATTCTTGGTTTGTGGCTAAATTGAGATCATCATTTTCTCCTGGTTTCACTAACTTTCTTTATTGCTCTTCAGACTAATCGGATGAATGCAGTGCAAGAAAGCTTAGTGGTGGCTGGAGGTTATGCAGAGGGAATGCATTAGGTCTTTGGGGCCGTGGCTTAGTTATTTGTACAGTTGCCCTCCACACACTTGCTGATCTGATGAGAGATCAGGTTAGATGACGTCCAGCAACTCAGCTGGCATAGGCTGGTGGTTTTCTTTGTGATCATTTGCAAAAAAGTAAATACCATCCAATTGCACAAATATGTGTCATTGACTATTATTGAGTGCCATTGAGTCAGTTCTGACTTACAGTGACCCCATGTGACAGAATAGAACTGCCCTGTAGGGTTTTCTAGACTGTAATTTTTATGGGAGCAGATCACCAGGTTTTTCTCCTGAGGAGCCACTGGGTGGATTCCTACCGTCAGCCTTTTGGTTACGAGGCAAGCAGTTAACTGTTGCACCACTACACACCCAAAAATGTGCTTCTGCAGCCAAATTGTACATGTCAACCTCTTAGCATTCATAATGCTGTCCGAGAGTGCAGTTTCGGGAGGTAGTTCCCGATTGCCTTATTAATCTCATTGAGTCACCACAACTATCCCCTTCAGTACCTAATCCAGCTCATGGTCACCTTCCATCTGGACTGCTGCCCCCATCTTATCTTAGTTCAAAGTGCCTAGTTCTTCATAGCACCTTCCAATAAAAGCATTTCCCGTCTTTTTTACCAAGCCTTCCCTCAAAAAGAAGCCAGGTCAGAGATACACGAGACATTTCATAAAACTGAAAATTATGACTCAGAACTCTAGAGAACAGTGTTCTTGTCCTCTTTGAGCTTATTTCCACCGGGGCTTATAAATTGGAGTTGTTGGAACTGCTGTATGCTTAAATATTTTAGAGGCATGTTTCGAGTTTTATATACACCTTTGTAGTGGTTTTATGCAAAGGTTCTGCTGCCCATTTCAGAGATAAGGCTTGAACAGCACCAGGTCATCTGATTAGTCTTGGTATCAGAGTATACATGAACCAAAACTCATAGCCAATAACAAGTGTTTGTAGAAAAACTTAATCTACAGATGAGATAGAAGAATTACAGTCTACTAAAAGCCTTTTTGCTACCAGTTTAGAGTTAGTGCTTTTGCAGTAAAGATGCCTTTGGCTTCTTGGAAGGAAGGTTGGGCAATCTACTTCCATGGTGATATCGCCTCGGAAACCCGAGGAGGGGTCGCTATGAGTCAGGTCTGACTCAACGCGCATAACAACAACAACAACATACAAGTATATGCTCTAGGGAAAGAGGAAGCTCCCGGGTCCCTGGTCATTTATTGTAACCTTTGATCTTGACACTAGTATTCATATCATGCTATTGAGTTGTTTTTTCATATTTCTATATAACAACAGTGCATTGATCTGTTGCTAATCTGATGTAATCTGCGTGTGTCAATCAAAGTGCATCACTCCAGAGGCCAATATCAGAAACTATCTAGGTTGAAGATTTCATCACTTAAGCCTCAAATTATTGTGATGTAGTGCAATGTTGCACCAGCCGCTCTGCAGAAGGAAGATGAGGCAATCCGCTTCTGTAAAGATCTACAGCCTTGGAAACCCATGGGGTTCGCTATGAGTCAGAATCCACACCATGGCAGTGAGTTTGTTGCAGTGAGTGAAATGTTGAAAGGCCAACTGGTATGGATTCAATTGTGCTCCCCCTCCCCAAAAAACGTGTTGTAAATTCTATGCCCTTGGTCATAATCCCATTTGGGGATGGGTTGTCTTTGTTATGCTAATGAGACAGGATTCGTTACAGGGTTTGTCTTAAATCAGTTTCTTTTGAGATGTAAAAGAGATTGTGCAACCATGTGAAGGAAGCAGAGATGGGTGAACAGAGATGCCAAGCCACGTGAAGATCACCCAGGAGCAGAAATTCAGAGACATGGATGTTCCCTCACAGCTGACAGAGAAAGGCTTCCCCTAGAGCCAGTGTCCTGAATTCAGACTTCTAGCCTCCTAAACTGTGAGAAAATAAACTTCTGTTTGTTGAAACCACCCACTTGTGGTATTTCTGTTATAACAGCACTAAGACAACAGCTCTTCAGATTATTTAAACAGCTTGATGAATGTCTCATCACTCAGAGAGGGGTCTGGGTTTGCTCTCTTTCTTCTGGTGATGATATCAGGAAAGAAAAAGAAAGGAAACTATAGCACTTGCTGGACATTATATGACAGTTAAAAGTGTATGTGTTTATCATATCCACTTATAACCTGTTTATGGCCCAGAATTTCTCATTTGCCCTTTATTATTTCCCACTTCCCTCATCATCATCACCCATTTGGTACAAATACTGCCAAGCAGTTGTCTCATCTTACAAGAAGAAACACTTCCACTTGTACTTTTGGGTGAGTTACTACCTAAGAAAAAAACTTACAACAAATTAATGAGACATAAATGTGAATTACATAATCATGTTGGAGTTCATTGAAAGATCAACAGCAAAAATGTGCTGCTGGCATTCCTTCCTCAAAGTGAGATTTCTGTATTCACGCTCAGCAATTTTGTTTCCCTAGCTGTGCCACCAAACATAGCAGAACTGAAGAACTTGGAAGTGCTTAACTTTTTTAATAACCAAATTGAGGAGCTACCTACGCAGATCAGCAGCCTCCAAAAACTTAAACACCTGAACCTTGGGTGAGTATTGTGGGACAGGAAACTAAGAGAGCTAGAGATTGAAAGGGAGGAGGGAGCTTATGAGTATGTGGGCAATGGATGGCCTTTACATCATTGCATAGCCCTCAACCATCGAATCGATTTCAATTCATAATGGCCCCTATTGGGTTTCCGAGGCTGTAACTCTTGAGGGAAGTAGATTGTGCCTCATCTTCCTCCTGCAGAGCAGCTGATGGGTTTGAACCACCAGCCTTCTAGTTAGCAGCCAAATACCTTACCTGCTACTCGACCAAAGCTCCTTAGATCATTGCATAGAAGGAGCTAATTTCTAATTTCTGCTTGTGCTTTAGATATTAGGAAAAGCTTTATTGTTTTAATATATCCTTTCATTAGCCTGCATAGTACATATTATTTTGAGAGCTAATTGAGAAGTTAATTGTTGGCACAATTAGAAAGTTCTTTTTACTGTATTTTGTTTCCAATAAAATTTTATTTCAGTTATATTGACCAAGAAGGGACTTAACTTGTATAGCATTACTGTCTATAGGGGTGTCTGTTGAGGCTAGTTATTATAATATGGTTGATTTTTTTTGCACTGTATTACAAATTACAAATTATTTCCAAAGCATCTTCATTAATTCTAGCAATCCTTTTATGTAGTAACGGGGTTATAATCCTCTGCCTTTCTTTATACAAAGGTGAAGAGAGGAATGTTGATTCAGCTGAGTTTGCAGAGCCAAGGAGCAGTGAATGATATAATTCCTTGTCTTTGTATATTGTTTTACAGTTTTCAAAGTCATTTTGCCAGCATCTGACCCTCTTTACAATTGTGAGGTAGGGAGGGCAGACATTAGGGCTTCCATTTTATAGAGAGGAAGCCAAGCCATTTCTGAGAGGTTAAGTGCCGTGGAGCTCATAGCCTCTCAAGTTAGTGCTGAGTGGAGGAGAGAATCACACTTCCTTGGCTCTGTGTGTTTTCTGCATCATATACCACAAATGCCACTGGCAACTTTGATTTGAGCTTTGAATTTCATCTTCATTGTTGTAGCTATTAGTTCAAACTGTAACATGTAAAGCAATATAGTCACTAAATTATGTTGTTGTTGTTGTTGTTATGTGCCGTCGATTCGGCCCCGACTCATAGCGACCCCTCCTTGGGTTTCCGAGGCAGTATCACTACGGAAGTAGGATTGCCCAACCTTCCTTCCGAGGAGTGGCTGGTGGGTTTGAACTGCCAGCCTTCTGGTTAGCAGTCAAGTGCTTTAGCCACTGTGCTGCCAGAGCTCCTTCACTAAATTATAGCCATTTAAAGTTCTAGTTAAGTTAGTGATTTACATGGAGTGGCAATAAAAGCTGGCCAGGTATTTATCAATTTCATATGAAGCAATATGAAAAAAATATTTCATTCATGGAATGACTATTAGTTCATTCTTCCAATAAGGAGTTTGGTTGGACACTTTCTTGTGAGATTCACTCCTGGTTGACAATCTTTTTTAAGATCCGTAAGCATTCTTCTTCCTAATGTCTAAGGGAAGTAGAGTTTAAAGGCGGGGGAAACATCATTTTAGATCAGATGGATTTTTTTGCCCCTGTAGGTTTGGAGACTATGTGTCCATCTGGCAGAGCAAAGGAAGAAAGGATCCCATACTGATACTTGTGTTTTGAAGGTTATTAAGTCCTGATGCTTAATTTGTATGTAAGAAAGAAACCAAAGCTGCATGTATTTATTATTTTCTGTTAATTTGTTCATGTATTTATTAAGAGTGTTATATGTATAATATACAGTTTATATATTTATAATATAAATATATAATTTATAGTTCATTTAAAAAGCATATGAGCAAATTAAAAAAATAATAGACATACATGTACATATATGTATATAACTTCTTTAATATAAATATTAATTTTCTTAGTTATATAGGAATATTTTTATGTGTGTGTAAGGCATTCTAGTGGAGCAACAATGAAGTGCTTGGCTGCTAACAAAAGATTAGGGTTCCAGTGCGCCCAGCAGCTCTGCGGGAGAAAGGCCCGGCAATCTGCTCCTGTAAAGATGCTTAGCTTGTTGTTGTTAGGTACTGTTGAGTTGGCTGGCTCCAACTCATAGCGACCCTGTGTACAACCAAATGAAACACTGCCCAGTCCTGTGCCAGCCTCACGATCCCTGCTATACCTGAGCCCATCACAGCGGCCACTGTGTCAGTGTATCTCAGTGAAGGCCTTTGCCTTTTTTGATAACCCTCCCCTTTACCAAGTATGATATCCTTTTCCAGGGAATGTTCCTGTCTGTCAACATAACCAAAATAAGTGAGATGAAGTCTGGCCATTATCGCTTCCAAGGAGCATTCCACCTGCACTTCTTCCAGGACAGATTTGTTTGTTTTTCTGTCAGTCCATGGTCCTTTCAGTATTCGTCACCAACACCACAACTCAAAAACATCAACTCTTGTTTGGCCTTCCTTATTGATTGTCCAGCTGTCGCATGCATATGAGGCTATTGAAAATACTGTGGCTTGGGTTAGCGCACCTCAGTCTTCCAACAGACATTTTTGTTCTTCAGCACTTTAAAGAGATCTTTTGCAGCAGATTGGCTCAGTGTAGTATGTCATCTGATGTCTTGACTGCTGCTTCCATTGGTGTTGATTGTGGAACCAAGTAATGTGAAATCTTTGGCAACTTCAATCTTTATTTATCACAATGCTGCTTATTGGTCCAGTTGTGAGGATTTTCATTTTCTTTATGTTGACATGTAATCCATACTGCAGAGTGTAGTCTTTAATCTTCATCAGTAAGTGCTTCAAGTCATCTTCACTTTCAGGAAACAAAGTTGTGTTGTCCGTGTATCGCAAATTGTTAAAGAATCTGCCTCCAATCCTGATGCCACGCTCTTTTTCATATAATCTAGCCTCTCAGATTATTTGCTCAGCCTATAAAAATTACATCCAAGAAAACCCTATGGGCAATTCTATTCTGTCACATGAGGTTGCTGTGAGTCACAGTTGGCTGAACAGTATTAAAAATAAACAACCTAATTATAGCAACAATGTATTTATAATGCTAGAACAGTACCTGGCACTTATAATAAGCAATATATAAGTATTAACTGTTATTATCATCCTCATTGTTTTACTTTGTTTATTTGATGAAAGAAATGCCTAGTTATATCAGGGACCCTGCTGTGTTGAGCATGCAAAAGTAAAACACAGAGTGTCTGCCCCTAAGGAGTTCCAATCATGGAGTGGGTTGCAGGGTGTTGTGAGGCAGCAGAACAGTACAGGTGGGTTCCTGATGTGATGGAGATCATAGGATAGCTGTAGGAGCAGGAAGGCAAGAAATACCTAAGTCTTCAGTAGGGCTTGTTGTTGTTGTTGTTATGTGCCATCGAGTTGGACCTAGCTCATGGCAGCCCCTCCTTGGGTTTCCGAGGTGATATCACTACAGAAGTAGATTACCCAACTTTCCTTCCGAGGAGTGGCTGGTAGGTTTGAACTACCAGCCTTCTGGTTAGTGGTCAAGTGCCTTGGGCACTACACTACCAGAGCTTCTACAGCAGGACTTGGAGCCACTCATTTCCACCCTAGATATATTACATCGGAATCTACATTTTAACAAGAATCCCAATGATTCTTATACACTCCCAGATCACCTGGGGATCTTGTTAAATTGTGGATTCTGATTCAGTGTACCTGGAGTGGAAATCCATATTTTCAGCAGAGGATCAAACTGGACTGAACCAGGTTGAAGCCCTCATCAAAAGTTCTGATGAAGAATCCTGTGAGTCAAATAAAGGAGATCTGATTTTGACCGTTGAAGAATTTGCACAGTAGAGTAATGAGTTTAAGAAAAGGTCAGAGTTTTGTTTAAAAGATGAGTGTGGAGGAGAGTTTGGAGGGAGTACAACCAGAGGTCAGGGCAGCCAGTGAGGGTGCTAGAGTATACATCTCAAAGAACATAATCAATGTCATTAAATGATAATTGTAGAAATCCTTGAATTGGTGAGTATTTTGCTATATATATTCTCAACAACACCAATAAAATAAATAAGATTATACATAGAAAGAGATAGGTGGGTTTCAATAGAAGATGCTTCCTTCCTTGAATGGCATAAAGAATTGTACATGCACAACCTTGTTTAAGGCAAGTTAAGACTCCTTAGAATCCAAAGCACACAAAACCCACTGCCATCGACTCTATTCCAACTCATAATGACCCCATTGGGTTTCCAAGGCGTAAGTCTTTACGTAAGTAAATTGCTCATCTTCCTCACACAGAGCAGCTGGTGGATTTGAACTGCCAACCTTATGGTTAGCAGCCAAATGCCTTAGGCACTGTACCAGCAGAGCTCCTTAGAATCCAAAGCAGCAGCATAAAAATACACATGTAGGAGATCATAAAGCCTAGCAGTAATGCCACATGTATCCATTATCCAAACACTCAGCACATGCAACCAGAACCATCTTCGACCTAGTGAGATGCTAGAGCTCATATCATAAGCATTTAGAAGTTTTCCTGAAGCGCACGGTATTGAGAGTTTACAGATTTGAAATTGAAACTTTTGTTCTTTGCCAAGTGGGTGAGTCGATCACTGTGGAGGCAAGAAAAATGACTGACTATAGCCAAGAAGGTTTTGTTGAAGTGAAAGTAGCCTAAGAGGAATTCCAGGGGAAAAAAAAAAAAAAAACTCCAAAAGGAAAGTGTTAGTACAGGCCTTCTCATGGCTTTTGAAGAAGAGAAGAAGATAAAGTGCTGAGTGGCCGTAGACTATCTAGTTTTAAAAATTTCTCCATCATAGGTATGCGTTTTCCCATTTCTTTTAGGCATGTGGGCAGCATTCATATGCAAACAAAATAATTGATATTATTTGGCACAGTTGAGCGGTAAGCAGCTTTATCTTTAAAGATCTAAAATGACAGATTAAACTGATGGGTGCAGATAGAAAACTAAATAGTGTTCTGGTCATCCAAATATTATTTTCTCCTAAGGTAAACTTAGGAATTCTGATAGCATAGTGCCTAAGGCACTTGACTGCTAACCAGAAGGCTGGTGGTTCAAACCCACCAGCTACTCCTTGGAAGGAAGGTTGGGCAATCTACTTCCGTAGTGATACCAACATGGAAACCCAAGGAGGGGCCGCTATGAGTCAGGTCTGAATCTACGGCACATAACAACAACAACAAGGTAAACTTGCTTGTTTGGGGTCGAGTCAAAATCTCTATCAAACCTCTTGAAAACTAATTGCCGTTAGAGCCATTGCTTCTGGAGGACCCTGCTATGAACCACAAATTAAGTTAAGTGCTTCAGATGTTTTCTCTGTCATCTTCACAGCAGTTCTGCAGTGAAGGTGCTGTTGTTCTGAGGAAGTTGGGCCTCAGAGAGGCGGGATAACTTTCCCAAGGTCACGTAGCTGAGAGGTGCTGGAGTTGGACTTCTAACCTAGCTATTTCAGATTTTAGAACTCTGTTCTTTTACCCCAACTATAACCCATCATGTTGTTGTTTTTATGTACTGTTGAGTCAGCCCCGACTCATAGTAATCCCTCCTTGGGTTGTCATGGTGGTGTCAATATGGAAGTAGATTACCCAATCTTCCTTCTGAGGAGTGGCTGGTGGGTTTGAACCGTGAGCCTTCTGCTTAGCAGTCAAGTGCCTTAGGCACTATGCTACTAGAGCTCCTGTAACCCCTCATGGAAACTTCTAGCATTCTCAGGAGGAGACTCTGAGAAGTCCCACACACGTAGATGATTGTTAACACCTGGCTTTGTGGGGCCACCAGCACATCACACCCTTCATTCTGTGGAGAGAGATGCTGCCGGATCACTATGGGCTGGTGTCTGGAGAGATAGCCGACTCTGAAGTTCCTTGCATGTTTTGTAGCTGGGGTTATCAGTAGCCCCCCTGCGAGACCTTCCGAAGCCTCTGTTGATGTGTTCTTGTGTGCCATCGATTGCTGCTTATATCTCTTATCTCTTCCCCATGTGACAGAGTGGAATTGCTGCACAGGGTTTCCTAGGCTGTAATCTTTATGCCAACAGATTGCCAGGTCTTTTCTCTCTCAGAGCCTTTTTGGTTAGCAGTTGAACATTTAACCATTAGAGGCCTCCCCTCTGCCCACTCTTTCTGCTGCCAACTTTAGGTGGGTTTTTGTGTGTTCTTCACAGGTTGGATGCATTGGTAAATGAAGCGAAGATAAAGTAAACCTCCAATTTGGGCAAATTCTTGCCACCAGGAGGTGGAAAGTCTCAAGGCTTGCTCTAGGCCACAAATTTGACGGGGACTCTGTCCTTAGGTGAGAAGCCCTCTAAGGAAGTCTAACAACCATGGATTACCTAACTTTTACATTTCATAAGTATTTTTCTGTGTTTGGAGAAAAAGCACTTTGACTTGCTGATAATTTTTAACAATGGCTAAGTTAGAGCGATATGCAAGGAAAGAAGCCCCTGATGTATGCGTCTGTCCTTTTCTTACTCTCTCTAATTTTTCTTTCAGTTTACTCAGAATTCATGTCTTGGAACCCACAAGTGTAGGGTAGTCAGGTCTTAGTGAGGTACTTGGCTGTCTTTGGCATCCTGTTGCCATCGTCAGTCGAGTCAGCCATCCTTGTTATTCCACCTCGTTGAGCCTGTTTCTTCCTCTCATCATTATAGACCTAATTATAAGCTTTAATCTGTCTATATTGCAAAATAGTTTTAGTGAGCCAAGTGAAATACTTGACATAAATGCACGTCACAAATTGTGAATTTGTAGAAAATAATCTTTTGGTGTTACCGTCACAGTAAATGGGAGGTTTCTTTGCCAAGCATAAAATACGCCTAGGACTTTTGTAGCCCGTCAAAGGTGGAAATCCACTTTCTTCCATTGTTTTCCTCCTTTGCTGTTAGCTATTTCTTATGAGGCCTGTTGGGTAGTTGTGATGTGGATGGCGTCTAACATGGGGAAGGATTGATGAATAGAATTATTTTAGTGTCATACTTCTTTTCGCCTTTCAGTATCGGTCAATCTGTATTAAAGTTTGTGGTTTTCTTTTCTTTTTTTTTTTTTAGTCAGTTTCTCAGTATCCTCAAAGGGAACTATATTAAGAAAAATAAGAGTCTTGAAGAAAATAATAAATGACAGGAGAAAACAAAATTTCTCTTGGATTTCGTTTGTGATAATAATTAAATGCTGGTAGTTGCAGAATTAAAAAAGTGATTATTTTCTTTCTGTTGGGAGGAATACATGAAAGAAAAGACAGGACCCCAGAAATTACAAAGCTTAGTATGTATATTTTGAGGTATTATCATCACTGTGTTGATGTTTTTTTCTAGGACAGGCATTTTGTGATAACTTAAGTTTCTATGTAAAACAGTGACTAAGCTTTTTCTTTGGAGTAAATGACTAAGAAATTTTCTAATGTTTGAACTGAATGTTTGAATGTTTAATGTTGAATTAGGTTTTGAAGTAAAATTATTATGCTGATTAAAATAGCAGAAATTTCTTATAGAACATTGACACTTCTTTGAGCTTTCAGCCTCTTATATGTGTTGCTTAGGCCTGTGATACAGAGGTGATCTAAGTATTGTGTATAAACATAGGTTTTGAGTGTGACGTCTTGGATTTTCTTTTTCCCCAACCACAGCATGAATAGGTTAAACACTTTGCCTCGAGGATTTGGCTCTCTACCAGCTCTTGAGGTCCTTGACTTGACTTACAACAACTTGAATGAAAATTCTCTTCCAGGAAACTTCTTCTACCTTAGTAAGAAACTTTTAATTCTATAAATCTCCTTAAAATGGTACTTTGTGTTCTCAAAGTAAAATTTATTTGCCGGGGCCCAAACTCCAAGAGAAATTATTGGATATATGTATTTTTTTTTTTCTCACAGACTCCTTTTGAATATTTCTTCATAGCTCAGCAGTATATATGTTTGATAGATAGTTATCTGACACCATTGGGCTGAAGTGGACCTAGCAATATCGTATTAACTTTGTAATAGAGATTATGTACCTAAATGAGGTCAAGCCTCACATTTAGCTAAGAAATTTAAGGTTCTTTTCAAGAGTGTGCCAAAGAATTACTTCTGTCTGTGTTGCTATTAACTTTTTGTAGGACATTTGTCCAAAGATATTCTAGTCAATTATTTATAAAAACATACCCATTAATAAAATGCTAGCCAAACTTTTAAATTTTTCAGCCAGAATTCTTGTTTTGTCTTTTTTTTTTTAAACAAAAAACACAATTCTTATTGAAATAGTTTTGCCCAGTGTATGACCATACATTAAGAAATTGTTAGTAGCAAATGAATATGCTTTCTCCTTTCATATGTGAACAAATTTCATGCTGAAGATGCTCTTAAAAATTAGGTGAAACTGATTTTTTGGGAACACATTTTCCAGAAGGATTTAAGAAAATGTTGCTTCCCTTAACTAACTGTTCTAGTTCTCCAAATAGTGACATCGATGACATTCTGAGATTCTGAATTTTCTGAACCAGTCTCTGTGATTTCAGTTTCTCACTTATATACACTGTCTCCCCCAGGCTGTCTCAAGCTTATGAGACCAGTTCTACCCACTCTAAAATTTTTTCTTGGACCACATACCCTGATTTCTGGTTGAGGAAATTGTTTTTGTTACATATATCAACATAAAGTTGTGTCAGATTTAAAATATTGCAATGTAATTAGACACCTGAAAACAAACTATATAGAAAACATTTAATTATATCCCTCCTTTTTGGTTGATGATGAGAAGATGCTGTAGGACCTTGCCTTCAGTAGTTTGGGTTCTTGTTATCATTGTGTAATGTTGTGAACAAAATTTCTGCTTAGTGAGATTCTGCTTAAGTTATAGTTTAGTCTATTAACTCCCTGTTATTGTAGGTCCTTTGTTTTCATTTATTTTTGTAGTGGAAACTATGAAAACCAACAATGGCAGTTAGTAGGATAGGAAATGGTGAGCTGGGATTATGCTTCTGTCACTGGAAAGCTTTGCTTGGTTTTTATCTTTTTAGTCTAGTTTTGTGTACATTAAGCAGCCCTTTTGTGCTAGAAATTGATACAAGTGAAAGTGATTTCCTTTGTTTTATTTTGAATGCAAATGGAGAAATAAATGTGAATTGGAAATAACAGAGAAAAGTAACCATGTTTTCTGAAAGCATATGGAAACTCTGTGCCAAGAAATGCTGGTGCCCGCAGTTGTTAATTGTGTCAGTCCTTTTGGATATGGATGTTTTCCTGAACACACCAGCCATACAATAAGCCAGTAAATCTAAGTTTGACCTGCTTGTTATTATTGTGAGCCCTAGGTATGTCACAGGCTTTTCACCAAGGCAGGGTTATTAATCAAAGCTGACTCCCTCGTATTGATCAGACCTCAAATGCTTGGGTTCCATGCCACTTTGTTTATATATTGCTGTTTAATTTGCAGCCACCTTGCGTGCACTCTATCTAAGTGACAACGATTTTGAAATCCTGCCACCAGATATTGGGAAGCTCACAAAGTTGCAGATAGTAAGTAATTTATCTAAATTCTTAGAAAATCAATTCACTCTTACAGCTCTTGTAGGAGTAGAATCAAGTCAATTTGAGAAGGAGTAAGGTTTGTTTTGCAGGAGTAAACCGCTGCTCCTGATACTGTTTCTGTTTATCTACAGACACTTGTAAATAAATTGCAAGGATTGGGCCTTAAAAGAAGAGAGGGCATGGATGAGGAAAGAGTTTTCTGTCAAGCGTCTCTTTATGTGAAAATTGTTTTGACAACTCCTTGTTTTCTTGTATTTAGCTCAGCCTTAGGGATAATGACCTGATCTCACTGCCTAAGGAAACTGGGGAGCTTACTCAGCTTAAGGAGCTCCACATTCAGGGAAATCGCCTGACCGTTCTGCCTCCAGAACTAGGTAAGGTTGCTGATGAATGATCTTGGTTTTGGGTTTAATTAATAATATTTAACCAAATGTAGCAATTCTAACAGCCCTGTCTGTTGACACATACCCTCTACCTAGATACTCGATTCTCATCATTTCTAGTACCATTTGTCATTGACTAGAGTTCAGTTCTTAGGGGTTTGACCCGTCCTGAGGCTTTGCTCAGCAGCTACAGCATCCAGTCTCTCAGAAGCTGCTTGCTGATACAGAATGGCCTGCCTGAGCTCCCTGCATGGTGTAGTGGAGAAAGTGTGGGAATAGTAGTTAGGGTCTGACCTATGTTTCTTCATTTACTAGCTGGGTGATGCTGATTCAGCTCTCTGGATCCTGTCTGTCTTACCTAGTGTAAATAAGTTTTATCAAACTTTTTATTTTCGATCTCTTCAGAGCTTTTATCAAATAGTTAAAGTATTTGTTACAGCTATTTAAAAGTACATTTTCCACTCATGAATTTGACTTTTCTTCTAATGCCATCTCCAGTGGGAATTGTTAATGGGTTCTAGCTGAAATTCCTTATAAGCAACATGATGATGAAGAGATAGAAGTTGACAAGGATTTCATTTTACTTGGATCCACAATCAATGCCCGTGGAAGTAGCAGCCAAGAAATCAAGCAATGGGCAAAAGACTTCTTGAAAGAGTTAAAGAACAAAGATGTCACTTTGAGGATTAAGGTGTGCTTGACCCAAGCCATGGACTTTCAGTTGCTTTATATGCATGGGAAAGCTGGACAATGAATAAGGAAGACCAAAGGAGAATAGATGTATTTGGATAATGGTGTTGGTAAAGAATATCAAATATACCGTGGACTGCCTGAAGAACAAACAAATCTGTCTTGGAAGTAATACAGCTGGAATGCTCCTTGGAAGCGACGATAGTGAAACTTCATCTCACGTACTTCGGACATGTTATGAGGGAAGACCAGTCCCTGGAGAAGGACATCATGCTTGGTAAAGTAGAGAGTCAGCAGAAAAGAGGAATCAACAAGATGGATTGACATAGTGGGAGCAATAATGGTCTTAAACATAGCAACAATTGTGAAGATGGCATTGGACCAGGCAGTGTTTTGCTCTGTTGTACATAGGATCACTATGAGTTGGAACCAATTCACTGACACCTAACAGCAACAACAACCCTATGACAGAGTGCCTGGTGGTGCAAATGGTTAGTGTACTTGTTGGCTAAATGAAGTTTCAGGGTTTGAGTAAGCCCAGTACTTTGGAAGAAAGGTGTGGCAATCTGTCTTGTTTTTGCGCAAATAGCATGTGTTTTATACCTTTTTTTCTTATTTTGCAAACTATGCAACCCCCTCATATGCTAGTTTCCTGTGTGTACTATGTGCATTATATGTGTGAACATATTATGTGGGTGCATTATATGCTGTATATGTGTGTGTGTGTATGTGTGTGTGTGTGTGTATATATATATATATATATATATATATATATACATATATATATATATATATATATATATATATATATACACATATATACATATATATATATGGTACTTCTAAAACATGAGCCACTGAAAACCCTGTGGAGTGCAATTCTACTTTGACACACGTGGGGTCTCCATTAACTGGAATCTCCTCCATGACAACTGGTAACTGGTACCCCCCATGGCATTTTAACTTGGAAATAACTTCCAAACTAGTTGTTTTATTAATGAGATTTTGTTGCCCTTCTAGAAAATTATCATGAGTTCACTTTTCTCTTCTCATACAAACTTTGTATTCTCCATTCCTTTGAACTGCACTCAACTGTATCGTTTTCTCAAACTGCCATTCTTGTTTCCAATAATTTTGAAGAACACATTTAACCCAGTGTTCTTAGAGGAAGCAGTTGGTCAAATGACTGTGATCATTTTAAAGAGACCAGAAAGTAACACACAAGCCTGTGTATTTTAATATTTGTTCACTGTTGTATCCTCAGTGCCTAGCACATGTCAGGTTTGTGGTTGCTGCCAGGGAATGTTTACTGAGTGAGTTAATGAAACAAGGACCCAAATAGCCAGGTGTTAGGAAGGTTATGAGCTGGCGGAGTTCATCTAGAGCTGTGCTCTGTAGTATGGAGGCCACTAGCCACATGCGGCTCTTCAAATTTAAAGGAATGAAAAATAAATAGAATTAAAAATTCAGTTACTTAGTTGCACCTGTGCTCAGTAGCCACACGTGGCTAGTGATTACCCTATGGGAAAGCACGGATATAAAACATTTCTGTCAGCACAGTAAGTTCTGTTGGATAGCTCTAATGTAAAGGGAAAACATTTATAAGCGTAATAAATGTAAAGTTAAACACACACAGACACTTTTTCCATCTCTTGTAGATCCTTTGTAGAAGGGTTGAAGGAACTTGCCCTGATTTTAAGGGCTCAGGAGTAACTCAACACTTTGTTTATTGAGTTAAAAGCAATGGCATCTTGCATTGGGAGAAGGAGAAGTGTTTTTGCAAAAGTTGTTATGGCAAAAACAACTTGTCGGAGAAAGACTTTGTCAGTGATTACTAATATAGGTGTGCATCAGTAATAACTGGTTAGCTTTTTCAAAATGCAAATAACCTGCTTCCTTTCCCAAACTATTGAATCAAAATCTCCATGTGGAAAAGTCTCTCACTCACTCATTCACTGCTGTCAAGTTGGATCCGACTCATAGCGACCCCTCCTTGGCTTCCGACGTGGTATCACTACGGAAGTAGATTGCCCAACCTTCCTTCTAAGGTGTGGAAAAGTAATTCTTGTGTAACTTGATAAAGCTCATGAGGTGATTATGACATGCTCTGTGAGTTGGTATGATTAGTAGAAAGGGAAAAAATGTATATTTTGATGTTTGTTTTTATTTCACTTGCAAGCAGTGAGGCAACATAGAACATTAAATTATTATTTTTATCAGATAATCTCTTAGAAAAATACACAATTAAACCTAATATTAAAACACCTAATATAAATACCTAAGTATTTACATTTAAAAAAATCTTATTCATTGCCTGTCGTATTTAGACAGGAGTTCTGTGTCATATTTGTATAATATCTCTATTATGCTCTCTAATAAAAAATTATGCATATTTTTATTTGTATATTTTCATATACATTATATATGAATACATTAAAAAAAAATATATATATATATATATATGTATGTTATATAAAAGGCATTTGACTGCTAACCAGAAGGCTAGAAGGTAGTTCAAACCTACCAGCCACTCCTTGGAAGGAAGATTGGGCAATCTACTTCCATAGTGATACCATCTCAGAAACCCAAGGAGGGGTTGCTGTGAGTCGGATCTGAGTCCACGGCAGTGAGTGAGTGTGTGTGTATACACAAACACACACACACACAAATATATAATTTGTCTCTTCTGATACTGTTTCTTGTTTGCAGACACTCACATCTATATTTATTTATTTATTTATTCAGGAGTAGACGTGAGCAGAAAGTCTGTAAATCACTTTATATTTGGTCATATGTATGAAAAACCTATACTCAACCTCTGGCTGGTGGCAGTTTTCCCTAATTGCAGGCAAACATTTAGCTGGAAATAAGTGATCAAACCCTAGGAGGTTCTGTTTTAAACCTAAACTCAAGGTGAAGACAAACACACTGACTCCTCACTTTTTGACTGTCTCATTATCCAACATTTTACATTTAGGACAGTGACAGAAAATCTACTATCTGACTATTTTCCACATTAATGAAATGTTAATGTTAATAAAGGCAAAGCTGTGAGGTGAGGGTAACACTGGCTGTAGTGGTTAAGGTCATGTGTCATCTTGGTCAGGCCATGGTTCTGAGTAGTTTGGCAGTTGTGTGCAGTTATGTAATGACATAATCATCCTCCGTTTTCTGATCTGACCTGGTCATCTTCTATTTTCACGTAATTCCAATTATTGCATAATGACCTGGTCTTTGGAACCTCACCATGTCAATAAATGAGGGGTAGGTATATATCATTTATTTTTGAACACGGATTTTTTTTTAAGTCAGGAATAACATAATAAATAATGATATAATAATTGTCTTAGTAATGTTGTTGTTATGTGCCGTGGAGTCGGACCCGACTCATAGCAACCCCTCCTTGGGTTGCCAAGGCAGTATCACTACGGAAGTAGATTGCCCAACCTTCCTTCCTAGGAGTGGCTGGTGGGTTTGAACCGCCAGCCTTCTGGTTAGCAGTTAAGTGCCTTAGGCACTATGCTATGAGAGCTCCTAGTTTTAGTAATAGCAAATGTTTATTAAAAAGGAGCCCTGGGGGCACAATGACTTAGTGTTTGTCTGCTAATTGAAAGGTTGGTGGTTTGAACGCTTAATGAGAAAAAAGACATGACAGTCTGTTCCTGTAAAGATTATAGCCTAGGAAACTGTATGGGGCAGTTCTACCCTGTACTGTAGCATTGCTATGAGTCAGAATTGACTTGATGGCAAACAGTTAACAGCAACATGCTTATTAAGTCCTGGTGTGCCAAGGAATTATGATAAGTGCTTTACCTATAAAATTTCCTATAATTGTCTTAAGAATAGTCAGAGGAATCTTTAGAGATGAGGACACTGAAGGAGTTGGTAACATGTTAAAGGGGGCACAGCTGGTAAATCTTAGAGGTAAGCTTTGAACCCAGACAGTCTAGCCTTTTGATCCGCCTTCCTAACTACTGTGGTATAATGCTCTCATCCATATTCCAGTAAAAGCAATACTAGAAATTGGGATTCCAAACTTGCACAAAACATAGCACCTCTTACCCCCCCCCCCACACACACACACTTTGCAAATGATGGCAGAAGGAGAGATGATTGAGAGTGGTGAGTTGCATGGGCAGTTTGTGAGCAAGAGGGCTATAATGTTGTTGTTTCGACCAGTGAGTCTATTCCAACTGATAAAACCAAAATATCAAACTCACTGCCATCGAGTCAGATCCGACTCATCCCAGCCCCTTCCTTGGGTTTCTGAGGCAGTATCACTACATAGGATGCTCTGGTTA